TGAAAATTTTGAAAATCTTGATGATCTTCCTCCGGACCAGGCGCAGCATCGGGGTGGGTAATTTCGACCCTTACAACGTATCACATGCCGATTAGAGGTCTCGGGCTTGCGGCTTAGCTTGGTCCGGGTCATGGCTTGGTTCGGGTCGTGATCACGTTATCACATGCCTACAGCTAGGTCACGATTTGCCTCTAACAATGTAAATAATGATACGTCTTTCGCTCAAGCATATAAAATAACGAACTTACTGTATTTATAAATAAAAAGCATTTTTAAATAATAAAATCATTAAATTATTATGTAATTTTAACAGAATAATGAAAAAAAATGAAATATCAAATCGAAAGTTTGAATTCTGGCAAGGTTAAAAAATCACTAAGATATTTTTTAGTCTAATTATATTACATATTAAAAGAAAATAAAATCTAAATCATTTATTATATCCTTCTATAATCTTTAATCTAGAAACTTCTCTACAAACATTACATTCAAGGTTATACATGCTCATATATGATTTTTTCATAAAATTATCAGACAAATTCGTCATAGTTCGCCACTCATGGTATTCTAAATACGCAGTCTCATTTCTAACTAAATATTTCAAGTGATTTGCAAGAGCCTCGGAGTCAGGAAAGTTTTCAATAAAAATAGCAGATTTAGGATGTGGCAAGTATGATAGAGTATTAGGCGCTCCCCATATAATAGGCACGACACCTAAATTAAATGTATCCCAAAGCTTTTCAGTAGAATAATCATTTTCTGGGCAGTTTTCAATTGACAAATGAAATGGGTATTTAGAAACTATGCAATTTTTTGTTTCAAAGTAATTTAAATTCGAGCATTCAGGATAAAAGTTCCAATCAGTGTTATTATAGACTCCACCAAATGATGCAATAGGAACATGTGTTTGAAGGCTTGGAATAAAAGTATCTCGAAACTCTGTCCAGTGAGAAGCAATAAACGAGATAATTGTGGAGTTTTGGGATAGCTTTGTTACATTGAAAGGTATAGCAGTTCTCCATTTTTCGGCGTCCATTCTAATATAACTTGTAGGTATATCAGAATTTTCCTCATATGTTGCGCGGATATCAAATAGATTGGTTTTATCGTGACAATCTGGGCAAAGGGTCATAGGCTCTAATGTATATTGTATAAATTTTTGCCCTTCCCATGCTTTCTTTTCTGGTAAACTTGGTTGATTAACGCAGAAAAGTGCATCAGCTTCTTTAAGCTCATTAGACGTTAAGTCTTCTAAATTTTTTATTTTCCAAATACATGGTATGTCACAATCAATTAAGGTTTCGTCGTGTTTATATTTAAGTCTTGGAAAATCTTCAGTCAAATACCAGTCTGGACGAGTTACATATATCCTCACTTTACGGTCCATATTAAGATAACTTGTTATATAATGTCTTTGTTTCCATTCTGTGAAGGTTGTTGGCTTGATTTTAAGCTTATTCATTAAATTCTCTGTATTGTTAATTTTTAATTCTGTCATATTAGCCATAGCGATAATAAGTTCATGAACCGGTGTGAATACAAGAATGAACATGAATATACAACAGAGAAGGAATATTGTTATTCGCTTTGGCCGTTTTATGTTTGAGATCCATGTTATGAAGTACATAGTGTACGTAGGTATAAAAACTTGACAGTAAGATTAACGAAAAAATGATTACGTATCAAAATATTTTTTGGATCAAGTCTTATATTTATATAGGACGTGGCTAAGTAATGTCATAAGTCTGCATTTATATATATCGATATCGATATGTATAATTAAAAATTGCTTCGCCTATATGTGGATCGATTTTTCCCATGCAGCTCGATTTTCCCAGTTTGTTTATTAAATTTACATGTTCAAGCATGTTATCAGTATACATGTATATCTAACTTGAACATTTCTTGATTTTTTTCTAATTTAATTTTGTTCTTAATCAGCCACTTACCATTTTTGTTAGGACCACAATTGTTGAAGATAATATTAACCTAAAATTAGAAAATAGTATCAATATTTTGATTGAAAAAATAATACAACCATATTGATATCTTTAAGCATACGGATTACTATATTCGTTATAGCAATTAAAAAGTAATGTGGCCCTAACATATACAAACTATAAGTCTGACTCGATATGGGTAATCGTTCAGAGCCAAAGTATGTTTTAATAACATCATTACAAAACCTGTAATATTTTAATTTTTGTATTGTAAGTGGATTAACTGACTTCGAGTACTGGCTTTGAAATTGCGGTTTTCTTTAATTAGGTTCATTGATTATATTATTAATAACTATTAAATGATCATGTGGACGGCGAAGCCGCCTTGAATTAATAGTAAAAATATTTATAATAGTTAACTAACTTGCACTTACATTATAATCTTCTTAATGACTTGCAAAGCAAAACCTGCAATAATTATAATTTTTACTTAACCCTTGTTAGAATTGTGGTATTACATAATTGATCACTATATTATCAATACTCGATCAAATTGGGGATAAATATACACATCGCACCCTACTATGCAGTTATTCATCGCGTGTCATACGATTTTCTAAAAAAAAATTAAAATCTGATTTAGTTTAGAGTTAGGTAAGTACTCGGAGTATTTTATAACAAAATTTAGCAAGGAATTTTTTTTAATTATAACGTTAATGATGGTTTCATAAGCAAAATTTTGAGATATTCGCAATTTCTTTAAAGAATACAAAAATTTTACGTTACACCTGATCTTCAAATCTGATTGGCTAAATTGCTTAGATGCGATGAATAGCTGCATTTCAAGGTGCAATACCTAATTAAGTCCTTAAATTGGTGAATATCAAAATCTAACAGGGCTAAGTTCGCTAAAGTGCAATATAATTATTACAGATTTTTGCTTTGCAAGCAACATAGCAATCTTTATTGTGATTATTTAATTTTTGTAGATCATCCTGTTAGTTAATCAGTAGCGGCTTAGCATGTATTACATAAAGATTATAAGCCCTGTTACGGTAAAAGACTTAAAATATTTACTTTTGCAGGTTTTATTATACAGTACTCGTAATTTATTATTATTGGATTAATATTAATTTAGAAGTGATCATCAAATCCCTTCGCTACAATTCATTGTCTTTGACAATCAGTGATTATCAATTAATCAACTCCGGCAAAAAAAATTCGATCAAAAAATAAAATAAATGACAAAATTCATGAACTTTACATCCGATTCACCATAAAGACATCAATAAAATGAACCTTTTCATAATTAAAATTTACCTTTGGACCAAAAATTTTTCGAATTCACCTACGTTCATGTTCATGTTCATGTACTTTGTAAAGGGCTACCTGACTCTCAGACCTCCGGTCTACTATTTTCTCTTTTTAAATTTTTATTATTATTATTTTATATATATTTTTTATTACCTTTTCTTTTTTTATGTATCATGTATTTATAGGATCCCTAAAAACTTGTATATAGGTATACCATTGCCCGAATTTAGTAAAAATAATATGCCGAGATGGTGGATTTATCGAATTAATCGGCATTAGGTAGATAGTAATTTAATTACTATTTGGGGAAAATTAGATTTAATTAGTATTTTAGAAAAATCAATTATATCCCGAATGTATTTATTAACAACATGAAAGTATAAAAACGATACATTTTTCTCTGAATAAAAATAACTTTGACAGAGTTCAAATAAGAATCTAATAAGTTCAGTGTTTGAGAACCAATACTTCGAAATTCGAGTAGAAGTTTGGTATTATAAGTCCACCATTGTTAAAAGATCCTCATTGTTAAACCCGCCCCGTAATAATCCAATTTCGATCAGTTTAAGGCTAAACAATAAGTCAATAACCCCTTAGATAGCTTTATTGATAAACCGCTCGATTAGAAATCCCAATTGTTAGATCACTAACCAATTGTAAATAAGACCAAATCACGTGCCACGTAATAAGAATTATCCTTATAAGAAAAGTCTAAGAATCGAAGAGCAGAAACAGAAAACAACCGGACCCAAGGGTCAAGAATAACAAAACACTTACCTCCAGGAACCAGGATAACTCCAGAAATCCCAAGATCCCTAAAACCCGGACCAAATCTTCCACGCCGTCTTTCAGCCTTCTAACTTAGGGTTGATTGTTGATTATTGATTATTTGTAAACCCAAACACTGGTGTAGCCTAACCCTCCGGTCGAGCTCTGACCAGAACCGGTCAATCCTTTTATAGCATTAAGAAGAAATATTTTTCGTCGATTCCTGCAAGATAGTAATACAAAATGCTTTTATATGGAAAAATATGTAACATCACATAATCAAATACAGAAGAGGAAAAAATAAATTCGTAATAATACCGTTCATTAGTGATGGGCAAATCACAGTTTTCCAAAATATCCCGCGCGGGATTCGGGTTACGCGCGTGATCCACGCGTGATGCGCGGGATAGGGTTTCTTAAAATTATGTTAATGCGGGCCTACTGGCCTGAATTGGGAATCATATTAAAAATCCCGCGCGGATCCCGCGCATGCCCATCACTACCAAAGACCCAACCTTAATAACCTTAATCTCGGACCAAGTTAATTCTCGCTTCTTTTAAAAGCTTCCAAGTTAAGGTTACGCTCTAGCTAAATTTTGGATTATTTGGATAATTTAAGTAGATTATTTAGTCCCGGACGAGTTCTACCTAGAACCATTTTGGACATTTTTTTTTTTTTTTTTTTTTTCTCCGTGTCAATACATCGGAGATCGTCGTGAGACGCTATATTTTGGACCTTTTCAACGTTCATTTCGCATAAAAAAACCACCTTTCATATCATAACAAAAAAAATTTCCTTTAGTAATTTTGCTACATGTCCTGATAAACGCTAACCCTATTATAAAAACCAACACTAAAATAAACGAATTTATAATTTTTGCAGCTATAAAAAAAATTTATTGGGAAGTAGAGAGAATTCACCAATCAGGATCGATTTATAAAATTGGTTTTTTTGCAATTTTTGAATTTTTTTAAAGCTTTCGAAGATAGCACGACAATTATTTAATAAATTTTAATGGATTTATTTTTTATTTAATTCTACAGAAGTGTAGAATTGAAATTAAACATAATTTATTGAATTTAGTTAAGTGGCTGTCGAGAAAACTTCACTCAATGTTTGAAACTATTTATCCTGCATATAAACATTTAAGATGCGTCTGAATTTTAACTAAATTCTATAAAAAATTTTATATTAATTCTAAATTTCTGTAGAATCAAAATAAAAAAATTCATTGACTTTTGTTATGTGGTTGTCGAATTGATGAATTTTGTTTAGATCACATGATCTTCAACCTTTTTTGATGGCGGTTCGAAGTTGATTCTTCGGTTAACATCCTCTCCCCTAGAGGTTGGAACCGGTTTTAATAATTCGGGTTTATCACATGAATTTTGTGATATTTTAGAATTTATTAAAATTTAATTGGATAAAATTCTAAAATATCACAATTCACGTGATAAACCCGAATTATTAAAACCGGTTCCAACCTTTACCCCCTCAGCTGGGTTTTACCAATTGAACCTAGCTGCCGCACAAACATATGGGCGGATTTGACTCCAATCAATTATATCACATTATGTGATAATTGGATTTATAAGTACGTATCAGTATGCTCTTTGCAGAATATTCCATATGGTAATAAAAATAATTATAAACATAATAGCGTTATGTATTCGTAGGATAATTTATACACTTTTTTTAATCATATATTCGTAATATTTCTTATATATGAAAAGCAAGAATTTATTTAAAAGATATTGTGTAAGTCTTTTTGAAAAAACATAACAAGTTTTTAAAAAAAAATAAACAAATGTAAAGCACTATTGTTTTCGAAATTGGCTTCAAAATAATATTTTTACAAAGAATATTTTTCTTCACATCAAAAATATTTGTTACATAATGAAAATGTTCGAAATTTTGTTTCTATGTCTTCTATATAATTTGTATACTTAGCGCAATAATCTAAAAGTTTTGTAAAAATAGTGTTCTGTTAGTACGAAGGTACTAAAAAGATAAAAAAATAAACAAAGGACAGAAAACCTAATATAAAACTTTATTTAAGAGCTAATATTTTTAGTTTCAGTACCTTTCACTCATTTCTGCCTGCTTTTACTCATTTCTACTCATTTCAACAAAAACTCATCTAAAACTCATCTATAAATCGTGATTGTGAGTAGATTCAAGAGAGATTGAAGTTTATAATTAGTTTAGAAGTTATCTTATCAATGATATTGATTTTTAATGCAGGACAAATTCGCAATAATCACAAATTTTACGTATTTGATTAGTGCAAATTTTGAAAATCTTATTTGAAAATATCATAAATGATAATCAAATAAAGTCAAATCGGCCCCTATAAATAGCCGTAGATCTGCAAAATTTTAGTTCACATTACATAACTTTTACATTCTAAAAATATAAATTTTTAAAGAAATAGACTTGTGTAATTAGAGATTGTACTCGTAAAGAGTTACTCAGGTAACTCGCATACTACCCATTAACCAGGTTATGACCCTTGCTACTCAGGTGACCTGTATCAGTTATTCATAAACTCATGACACAGCTTGAGTAATTAATTTATAAGTTTAAGAACTCGATATTTATTACAAAAAATAAATAAATTGATAAATAAATAAGTTATTCGTCATGCAAATCATGAACACGTTTTGCAAATCGTCTTTGGTTAACTGAACCCAAGTTTATTGTGTTTTATATCATAACACAAAGTGATAAAATTTATTATCTTTAAGGCTATATAAAGTTAATTAGTTGTTTCTTATAACTCGATCAGGTCAGCTTTTGTAAATTTTCAAGAAAAAATTTTATAAGTTATTGATATGAATACTTCAAGTAGGTTTTTTTAAAAATCAAAAAAAATTATATATATTTTTTAATATTTTCTGAATAATAAACCTATAAACTTTTTATAATTAAAAATTAAAAGATGAGCAAGTAGGGCATTTTTAAATTCGCAGGTTATGAGAAACAATTAATTAACTTTGTATAGCCTAATGAATAAGTGAATCCTACTCTGTACTTTATATAGATATTAAATTGTCAAAACTCACTAAGAAGATAATTATGATATAGTTAATACTCTCAGAATCAGTTTGTATAGTGAACAGGTTTTGTATCAGCTTTATGAGGTTATCAGAATTGAAAATGTAGCAAACTATTAGATTTATATAATATAAATAGACTTAGAGATTAATTTTTTATCAGATTTGAAAGGTTATCAGATTAGTTTTGAGAATATCAATTGTAATAGTATTTAATTATACAAATCAAGAGTAGTATATTGTTACTATGTAGTAAAAAAATTAGAATTGGTCTCACAAATATTATAGCAGAAATTGAATGATAGCAATTAGTATGCAAACATTGTAAAAAAATCAATTATATATTGTTGAAATAAATTAGTGAATAAAACTTCACTAATAATAAAGCATTGATTAAGTGACAATTATATTGTTTTTAATATAAATATGAAATATTATTTTATTATAAAACAAGTTGTTGCTAACTGAATGTACTTTTTAAAATATACAAACCTGTAAATACAATTTTATGCTACAAGACAGAGTTTTTTCCAAATTAAATTCATTTATGATTTTTGGATATTGAGAATCTTCTCACTTCACAGTTTTGGTATTGCAAATCTTCATACTGCAAGTAAATGTTTCTCTCCAGTTGTATTCATTTTATAGTTTTCAGATATTGTAAATCTGGTAGTAGGCTATTAATTAAAATAAAATCTAAAAAATATTTAAAATAATCCTTACAAGATCATTCTTACATATTTATGTGTATGAATTCTTTTACCACATCTGCAGTATCTACTCATTAACAACTACAATCAATTATTTTTTTACTAGTTTAATATCTAATAATTTGGCAAAAGCAAATTGCTAAAAGAATCAAATAGTATAATTATTTCTAAGCCTTGCCTAAAAAAATCGAATAGTATGATTATTCTAAGCTTTGTCTAAAGAATCAAATAGTATAGTTATTTTCAAGCTTGTCTAAATAATCAAATGCTATGATTATTTCTAAGCCTTGTCTAAATATATATTCAAAATTAACAAGCTTGTATAATTATGTAAGATCGAATAACATAATAATTAAATTAATTATCTGATGAACTAAATAGGTAAAGTATATATTTAAAGCTAACTAATTTAAAGTGAGAAGTATAATTTTGCAGGTTTAATGGTATCTAAATAAGTTGAATATGTATTCAAAGCCAACTAGTTTGCATAATATATAGATCAAATGACATGATAATTAACCAATTATCATAACTATTAAATAAGTTAAATATGCATTCAAAAAGCCAACTAATTCGATATAAGAAAAGTAATTTCATGAGTCAAATAGTATAGTAATTAAATAACTGTTTATAAGCTCACCCAAGTAAGTCTAATATATACTCAAAGCTAACTAGATTGATGCGAGAAGCATTGTTATTGTTGTATAATTAAAATTGTATTGTTATTGAGAAGGCATAATTGTAATAAGAATTAGATCGTGAAAAAAAAACAAAATGTAGATATTTTAAAAAATGTATTTAAACTATGCTTTTTGACTTGAATAAAGCTTCAGAATTCAATTCTGAAATCTAAACAATTATTTAAATATCTTCACTTTTATAAATCTGCCTCTAAATCTTTACTGCTATTACATATTTATTAGTTAAATTATTGTTCACTATCGATCATAATTATAATTATATAATAATTGACAAAACTAACTTATAACACTTATACTACTTTGCATATTTAAATTATCTTTTATATAGTACTATAACTTTTAAATAAAAAACAAAATCTCAGTCAAGTTCAAGTTTTCAAGAAACTGCATATTCTGATAAAAGCTATAGTAATAGTGATAATAATATAACTTCTTCTACAAATATATTAATTAGCAATAAAAAAAAGAGGAGTAAAAAAAATAAATCAAGTTTTGTATAGAAGTAATTTAAAGAAATTAGAACAGAAGATGTGTGTCACGTTCTAATTAAAAAAAATTAGTGTAAACAAAAAGTACAAAAAGAGCTATATTTATGATAATTCAATATCAAATATAATCACTTATTTATGATCTCATAATATCATGGATAGCAAAAAGTTAAAATCTGAACAACAACAAAAATGATAAGCTACATTACTAATGATGATTTAATCTAATACTAATACTTTATATAAAGGTGAAAGATGAAAAAAAGTAGTTAAAGGAGTTATTGAATAGATTTTTCTAGATAATGAACCTTTATTAGCAATAAGAAAAAAAGAGTTTTGTCATATGATAGCAATAATTGATCCAAAGTTTCATCCACCTTCTAACAAGCTAATAAAAAATAAAATATTATTAAATTATCTAAAAAATACAGATACTTTTAAATAAAAAATCGTAGCATCTTATAAGACTACTATATTAATAGCAGATTTATGAACTTCGTATAACAACCAAGGTTATATTGGGGTTACCTATTACTAGATTACTCCTAACTAGTCTCTGTAGTGTGTTATTATGTTGTAAAAAAATGTCATATCCACATACTGCTGAGTCTATTCATCAATTTCTTATTTATAAATGCATAGAATTCATTCTTGAAAATAAGATTGTGTATGCTATTATCAGTAATAGCTTCAATATAGTAAAGGCTATTAGGTTGTGGAATACTATTGTTCACTCCTATGTGCTGCATATACCTTATAATTAACAGTTAATTTTACACTTCAAAAAATTCATTCACAAACAAAAAAAATAAAAAAATTAGTTAGTTTTTTTAATTTACTAAAGCAACAAGAAAGATTAGAGAAAGCCTAGATAAGGGTTATGAAAAGAGATAAATTACTATATTCTAGCTCAGTTCATGCTGAAACTTATATTGAAGTTTACCTTGAAGATGAGAAGGTTAGTGAAATTGATGATGGAAGTAATACAGAATCAGAAAAACAATTAAATATAAATACTACTTCTAAACTCCTTTGTCTAATTAAAGACTGTTCTATATAGTAGAATTCTAAATATCATTCTTAAGAAGGATTGTTAAAATTAAAAGATACCATTATATAGTTAGAAGTAAATTTGAATATTTCACAGAATTTGAATGATGAAAAAAATAGGCAAAAACTTAAACGATATTTATCTAATGAAGATGAATGGAAATTAATCAAAGAATTAGTTAAAACTTTTGAACAATTTGATCATGCAACAGAAACATTTAGTGTTAAAAAGTATTCTAAATTATCAGTTATATATTCTATTATTGAACTCTTGAAATTTCAATTCACAGTATATCCAAACCTTCCCTTAGTCAACAATGTTTATGATCTAGATGATGAATATAGTATATACTTTTTTTTTCTTTAAAAGATAAATAAAAAATAAATACATAAATAAATAAATAAAGTAATAATAATAATAATAATTAAAATAAAATAAATAATAAAAATAAAAAAAAATAAATAAAAAAAATAAAAAAAAAAATAATAAAAATAAAAAAAAAAAATAAAAAAAATAAAAATTGTATAATTTTTTTTGTATTCATAAAATATTAATATTAATTCTTATTTTCAGAGTTAAATATAGACAGTAATAGTGAAGATAAAGAGGATTATACTTAACATACACTTAATGTTCAATCAATAATTATTCAAGTTAAGTGAGTAATTTACAATTCACTTTGGAAATATTGAAGAAATCTAATATTCACTGGTCTTATAGCAACTTTACTAGATCCAAGACTCAAAAAAATATGCCTTTGGTCTGAAGAGCTATAGAAAGAAACAATTAGAATATACTATGAAGAATTGAACAATATTATTGATGATATACTCACCTAATCTATGCCTTCTAATATAGCTTTAATTAATCGTTACTTTGCTTCAATATTTGACAATAAGGATAATAATAATGATAATTCATCTGATGAATTAGATAAATATTTAAATATGCCTATCACTTCAAAAACAAAATCACTCTTAGACTAGTAGAAAAAGTAAGAAAAAGATCTTTTAAATTTAAGCAAATTGGCAAAAAAATATTTATCTATACTAGCCAAGTGAATAATTATTTTCTGATGCAGAGAACCAAGTAACTTCTAAATAGACTTATCTTAATTCAGAAACTATTTTACAAATATTGTTTTTAAAAAGAAATAATGATATAATTAGTACTATATAACATTTTTTATATTTTTTTATAATCTTATTTTAATATAGATCTTTTCACTTGTATTTCATACAACTACAATAAAAATTTTTGATAACTTATAAAGGTTGCTATTATAAATTGTAAAATAGGTTATAAAAGAGCTGAGTAACTTCTTCATAAATAGAATGTTTAAGATTATAATATTTCACTAAAAAAAAGTATATATTAATTAGTAAAAGTTTGAGAAACATAGTATAAAAATATTAACTTCACAATGTGAAAGATTTCAAAAGCCAATATACTGAATATTCTATTATTTCTATATGTAGTTTTTAAATGCTGAAATTAAATAAGCTGCTGTCAATAAAAATAAAGCATATTAACATTTTAAAAACAAAATCGATACTTTAACTTTTAAAGCCTATATGCTGATAAATTTCTAAGCTATTAAAATGATTTAATAATCAAAAGAAAGTTTAAAGTTTAACTTTTTTTTGACTACAAAATCATCAAGATAGCTTAGAAATTCATCAAGACATGAGCTTTAAAAGTTAAAATACCAATTTTTTTTAAAATATCAATTTGCCTTATTTTTATTGATGGTAGCTCAAATGATCAAGAGGTTTAAAGATTCAGGAAATCTTGCTTAGCATGTCTTAAAATCATGATCTTAATATCTGTAAATTAAAAAAATAATATGAGTATAATAAATATGATCCAAAGGCTATAATAAACAAAATGCAATATATGTTAATCATTGCTCGATTTAAATTAGTTATAGTTAGAACTCTATAAATGTTCATTTCTTAAATACAAGGACTAAATAAAAACTCTTTAAATGCATGACATAGTTTTACTTTAGCTTATAAATACACTCTCTAAGTGCACTATTTTAAAATTTTTCTAACAGCAGTACATTTTTGTTATGAATAACTGAGTTAATTAGGTTACCTGAGTTACTCAATTGGTAACCCAGTAATGATTTTTTATATAGGCAAGTAACTCGGAGTTAAAATTTTTAACAGGTACAATCTCTACATATAATGTTAAAATCAGCTCAGGAATAATTTTCACATAATACATAACAGTAATTTTATTAGTAAAATATTGAGTAATTCTGGCCAAAATTTTTGATTGTTGCTCTTAGCCAATCAAAATTGAGAATTATCTATATGGTAGCTAGATTCAATATAGTGTTAGAGTAGTTCTAGATTATATTTTTTTCTCTTACAATATACAGTACGTATATCTATACTATATATTATATCTATTTTATACTATACTATAAGTGATAATATATGTGATATATGTATTTAGTTACTATATAATACTATACAGATTTTTCATTGTTTTAAAATATTAAAAAAATAACTAATAAGTTTAATAAATTGAATTTAGAAGATAATAATTCAAAAGAATTTCATAGAGAAATTGTTAAAGAATTGTGTAATCTATATAATAAAGAAAGATTTAAAGACAAAAGTTTTAACTTAATTATTGAAGTATTGGAACAATTCTTAGCTAAAAAAACAAAATCCAGATAATATTATTAAATAGTATTTGAATGATAAATAAATCCTATAGTTTAACTTATTCTTGCAAGATGTTATTATTTAGGCAATGAGTTGAAAAGAATGACTATAAGGTATTCATTTATTATCAAAAATCTGCTAATATAGGTAATACTGAAAGAACATCTGATATTAGTGATTGTTATTATTTTGGATATGGAGTTAAAAAGGATGAAGATAAGGCATTTATTTATTACCAAAAATCTGCTGATATGGGTTATATTATAGGAATATATATAGTTAGTCATTATTATAAGAATAGAAGAGGAGTTAAAAAAGATGAACAAAGACATTTATTTATTATCTAAAATTAGCAGAAATGGGTTATGCAGTTAGAATATCAGTAGTTAGTAAATGTTATCAAAATGGAGATAGAGTAACAAGAGACATAGAAAAAGCTAACTATTAGTATCAAAAGTAAACAAAGAGTTTAATTAGATTTTTTAATAATAATTCATATCATATTCATATAATAAATTTAAGTGTTGAGGTCTGGCGATCTTAGTGTAGTGGTTAGGTTGCCAGACCGCCATGCAAGAGGTCTGGGGTTCAAATCCCACTGTC